ACCTGAGGATTCCGACCAGGGCTTCCCCTCTCAGCCCCATGCACGCCATAGTTATTGACCTGTCATTGAATATTTCATATCACCAAATTCTTTGTATGTGACCCATCTGGTTCACATTTGCAGGCCTCTTTTTTTTTTTTGAAATGGAGTCTTGCCCTGTTGCCCAGGCTGGAGTGCAGTGGCACGATCTCAGCTCACTGCAACTTCCCGGGAAAGTTGATTCTTCCCAGGAGGTGGAAACCTCCTGCGTTCAAGTGATTCTCCTGCCTCAGCCTCCCAAGTAGCTGGGACTAGAGGCAAGCACTACCATACCTAATTTTTATATTTTTTGGTGGAGACGGGGGTTTCACCATGTTGCCCAGGCTGGTCTCGAACTCCTGACCTCAAGTGATACGCCTGCCTCGGCCTCCCACAGTGCTGGGATTACAGGCGTGAGCCACTGTGCCCAGACTCAGGCCTCTTTTAAGAGCCATACCTGGCCAGGCGTGGTGGTTTATGCCTGTAATCCCAGCACTTTGGGAGGCCGAGCAGGGCAGATCATGAGGTCAAGAGATTGAGACTATCCTGGCCAACATGGTGAAACCCCGTCTCTACTAAAAATACAAAAATTAGCTGGGTGTGATGGCACATGCCTGTAGTCCCAGCTACTTGGGAGGCCGAGGCAGGAGAATCACTTGAACCCAGGAGGCAGTGGTTGCAGTAAATCGAGATCTCACCACTGCACTCCAGCCTGGCAACAGAGCGAGACTCTATCTCAAAAAAAAAAAAAAAAAAAAAAAAAAAAAAGAAGAAAGAAAAAGAGCGCTACACCTGCAAGCCACAAACTCCCAGAAAAGCACACTGAAGAGGAATTCACAGTCTCAGAGGTTGGTTGTAAATTCTGGCTTTTATAGTCTTTGCTGTGTGACCTCAAGAGCATTGCTTCACCTCTCCAAACCTCAGCGCCCTCATCTGCAAAATGGGGCAGAAACACATTCCTCCCAGGTTGGAGGGAGGCTTAAATGAGGTAATATATCTCAAAGCACCGGGCGCATAACAGATATTTAAGAAATGCTCATTCCTTTTCTTCTTTTTGCTTTTTCTTAACACCATAGATTCATTTTTCCTTCGGAGAAGGAGAAGAAGGTACTCAAAGCTGGGGATCCATTTACTCTTTCATTCTCAACACAAATATTGATTGAGGCCGGGCATGGTGGTTCACGCCTGTAATCCCAGCACTTTGGGAGGCTAATGCCTGAGGTCAGAGTTCAAGACCAGCCTGGGCAACATGGTGAAACCCCACCTCTACTAAAAAACAATACAAAAATCAGCCGGGCATGGTGGTGGGTGCCTGTAATCTCAGCTACTCAGGAGACTGAGGCAGGAGAGTAGCTTGAACCCGGGAGGCGGAGGCTGCAGGGAGCTGAGATCTTGCTGTTGTGCTCCACCAGCCTGGGCAACAGAGTGAGACTCTCACTCTCTCTAGATAGATGGATGGATAGATAGACAGACAGACAGATAGATCAATCGATAGATCGACTGTCTATCACTTACCAGGCGGGACTGCAGCAAGGAACACGAGGATCCCTGCCCTTGTGGTGCAGCAAGAGGGTCCAGGTGCTGGGATCAGATGGAACTGGTTTCAAATCCTGGCTCAACTACCCGTCAGCTGCAGCTCCTCAGGCAAGTCATGTTACCTTTCGAGGCTTAGTTTAGGCAATTCTAAAATGGGGACAGTAAGATATAGAATATCCAAAAGGAGCAGAGGAAAAGATACTTTTAAAGTTGCTTAATAGTTGTGTAATCAAGAGGTGTGTGTGGGGTGGGGGGGTGAGGATGTCTGGCCAGCAAAAGAGGGTGGAGGCTGTGACCTGGGGACTTCAGGCTTCCAGGATCAGGCCACTTGGGAATGGTTGCCCCCGGCATGCTGGTCAAGCCCTAAGCCCTAAAGTTCCACTAGTGGAGCTCATCTGGTCATTACACAGATGAGGAAACTGAGGCCCACTTGCCCAAGAGGGTTTTCACCACATTGGCCAGGCTGGTCTGGAACTCTGACTTCAAGTGATCCACCTGCCTTGGCCTCCCAAAATACTGGGATTATAGGCTTGAGCCACTGTGCCTGGCTCAACTCACATGTTTCTGAAGTTCCTGTTGACAGACATTTATGTGCTGGTCTCCTTTGTTGGGTGGGCATCTCTGCCGAGTGACTGAAGGGGGCTGCTGCCTCCCCTCTGCACTGGGGACACAACATAAAAGAGTGGCCATGAATTTGGCCAAGGGGGTAGGGACCAACGGGAGAGCAACTTGAGGACTCTTATGCCCAGGGTGGGACAGACCCTGATTAAACAGGTGCTAACTAAAGGGACATGTGAAAGAAGGCTCAAGCCTGGGCTCCCCTGGGATGTGCTGGATGCTCTACTGCTGGGCATGCTCCGCTTATTGTCACGTGGGCAACACTAGAAAGTTACACTTTTCTCTCTCTCTCTCTCTTTTTTTTTGGAGACAGAGTCTCACTCTGTCACCAGGCTGGAGTGCAGCGGTGGGATCTCGGCTCACTGCAACCTCCACCTCCTGGGTTCAAGCGATTCTCCTGCCTCAGCCTCCCCAGTAGCTGGGACTACAGGCGTGCACCACCATACTCAGCTAATTTTTGTATTTCTAGTAGAGTCGGGGTTTCACCATGTTGGTCAGGCTGGTCTCTATCTCCATCTCCTTATGTCATGATCTGCCCGACTAGGCCTCCCAAAGTACTGGGATTACAGGTGTGAGCCACGGTGCCCTTTTTTTTATTTGTTTGTTTGTTTTTTGTTTTTGAGACAGAGTCGTGGTCTGTCACCCAGGCTGGAGTGTAGTGGCGCGATCTTGGCTCAGTACAGTCTTCACCTCCTGGGTTCAAGCAATTCTCCTGCCTCAGCCTCCGGGGCAGCTGGGATTACAGCCGCGCGCCACCACACCTGCCTATTTTGTATTTTTAGTAGAGAGGGGGTTTCACCATGTTGGCCGGGCTGGTCTCAAACTCCTGACCTCAAGAGATCTTCCCACCTCAGCCTCCCAAAGTGCTGAGATTACAGGCATGAGCCACCACACCCAGCCTGAAAGTTTCACTATTTTACTCTCATTCCGCATACTAGGAAGCTGAGGCACAGTCAGATGAAGTGACCTGCCCAAGACTACATCAGCATGATATAGCTTGAAACCTGGGCATTCTGACTGTAGAGGCCATGTTTTGAGACAGGGTCTTGCTGTGTCACTCAGGCTGGAGTGCAATGGTGTGATCACAGCTCACTGCAGCCTCCCCATCTTGAGCTCAAGTGATTCTCCCACCTCAGCCTCCTGAGTAGCTAGGGCTACAGGTGTGTGCCCCCACAGCCAGCTTTTTTTTTTTTTTTTTTTTTTTTGAGATGGAGTCTCACTCTGTCACCCAAGCTGAAGTGCAGCCACATGATCTTGGCTCGCTGCAGCCTCTGCCTCCCAGGTTCAAATAATCCTCCTGCCTCAGCCTCCCCAGTAGCTGGGACTGCAGGCATGCACCACCACAACCGGAAAATTTTTGTATTTTTAGTAGAGATGGGGTTTCCTCATGTTGGCCAGGCTGGTCTTCAACTCCTGACCTCAGGTAATCCACCCTCCTCGGCCTCCCAAAGTTCTGGGATTACAGGCATGAGCCACTGTGCCTGGCCTAATTTTTTATTTTTTTGTAAAGATGGTGTTTCGCCTTGTTGTCCAGGCTGGTCCTGAACTCTGGGGCTCCAGAGATCCGCCTACCTCGGCCTTCCAAAGTGCTGGGATTACAGGCGTGAGCCACTGCACCCAGCCAAGGTCAGGATGCTGCACCCAGGAAGAAGAGAGATGAAGAAATAATGGAGAAATGAAGGGAGGAAGAAACAAAGGAAAGAATGGGAAAATGAAAGAGAACAAACAAGTAAATATGTTTATTTTCTTTTTAATAGAATAGTTGTAGCACAACTATTTTTAATATAATACTTATAGCACACATGAATTATAAAACTTACTAATAGAATGAACACTCTTGAACTCACCACCGATATAAGATTACAACAGAAAGTTACCAGTAACCTGCATCTACTTATGCCAGCAGGTCTCTGCCGAGGTTGTACCTTGAACACACCTGGGGAATTTTGGAAAACACTGGTACTGTCAGGTGGGATTTGGTGTTTGGTTTAGGCATCTGGATTTTTTCTTTTCTTTTTTTTTTTTTTTTTTTTTGAGACGGAGTTTTGCTCTTGTTGCCCAGGCTGGGGTGCAATGACGCGCTCTCGGCTCACCGCAACCTCCGCCTCCTGGGTTCAGGCAATTCTCCTGCCTCAACCTCCTGAGTAGCTGGGATTACAGGCACGTGCCACCATGTTCAGCTAATTTTTTTTGTATTTTTTTTAGTAGAGACGGGGTTTCACCATGTTGACCAGGATGGTCTCGATCTCTTGACCTCGTGATCCACCCGCCTCGGCCTCCCAAAGTGCTGGGATTACAGGTTTGAGCCACCGCGCCCGGCCAACATCTGGATTTTTTCTTAAAGATATCTGGTTTTTTTTTGAGACAGTGTCTGGCTCTGTCACCCAGGCTGGAGTGCACTGGCACAGTCACGGCTCACGGCAGTGGCACAGTCATGGCGCATGGCAGCCTCAGCCTCCTGGGCTCAAGTGATTCTCCTGTCGCAGCCTCTCAGCTGGGATCATAGGTACCAACATGCCCGGCTAATTAAAAAAAATTTTTTTAGAGACAGGGGTCTCTCCATGTTGCGCAGGCTAGTATCTGGTGATTCTCATGCGCAACCAGGTTTGAGAAGCACTGGCTTATATTCTCTTTCCCCTGGGTTCCGCCTTCACCTTCAGGTGAAGATAATCACCATCCTGAAATACGTGTAGTGCACGGACGGATTCTTTACCTCCATCCTTCCCTATTTCAGACTAGCTACGTTTGCTATTTATCTCCCGCCGACCACGAGGGGGCACCAGAGAAAAACAGTCTCCCTTCGCGCTGAAAGAGGCTTGGCCCTTGCGACGCTCCGTCTTTGGGGCCGTTGCCGGCGCAACCAGGAAGGAGAGCGCTGGTGTTGCTGTAGCGCGTCTGAAATACGCCTGGGAACTGGCCGGCCCGCTTCATGCCTGCGGGAACTCGAGACGGGGGACTCTTCGGAAACTCCAAGACGCAGAGAAACGTGAGTCGGGGGATTGGATTCTGCCGGATCCGGCGTTAGGGCGGGGACCCACAGGGTCCTGAACGCAGGCGGCCCGCGCGGGCGGGAACCGGGGCGGGAGTCCGCGGACGTGAGCTCTGGACGCTTAGGGTCCTCATTCTGTCCCCGATGCGCTGTGACCCCCTTTGTTGCACGTACCTGTTCAGGTCGAGAGAGAGGGATGCGACGTGTTCGGGGAGCAGCCCAGCTTGTGGGTGGCCAATCCAGGACCGGAATCTTAAACTTTTGACTCTCGATGCAAAGATTGATCCTCTGGCGGCTTTTCGGGACAGGGAAAAACAATATGAAGCCTACCACGGTCTCGAGACCGGGGTCACACGTTAGCAGCCGGCCGGCTACCTTTGGACCATAGACGCAGTGTTTGTCCCCAAACCTGGAGGACCCCGAGTATGAGATTCTTGGCATGGACCAAGCCTTTTTCGCTCATTCAACAGGCGTTTCTACCCAGGCACTGCGTCGACCCTGCACTCGAGGGCAGCTTTTGGGTCAGGGGAATCAGTGCCTGGAGTGAGACTGCTCTCTGCTTTCAGGGCTCCAGCTGTATCCCTACATTGCTCAGGCAATTCCGCTCTCTAGGTCTGAGTTGCTTCATCTTCAAGATGAAAGGTCTGTCCTTCATGGTAGCCCAAAATACTTCCGAGTGTTACATCAGGCTAGGCCCCTCCCCGGGGGCTGTCAGAGCCAGGGCATGTTGGTCCCAACAGGCAGCCCCCTTGCAGTGTAGAGAGCCTGGGCGCTGGTCTCAGAGGGACATGAATTAGGATCATGCTTGTTGTTGAGACACAGCAGGCTGGAGGGCAGTGGCTTGATCTCGGCTCACTGCAGCCTCCATCTCCCGGGTTCAAGCAGTTCCCCTGCCTCAGCCTCCCAAGTAGCTGGGATTACAGGCGCACGCCACCACGCCAGGCTAATTTTTTTTGTATTTTTAGTAGAGACGGGGTTTCACCATGTTGGCCAGACTTGTCTCGAACTCCTGACCACAGGCAATCTGCCCGCCTCGGCTCGGCCTCCCAAAGTGCTGGGATTACAGGCGTGAGCCACTGCGCCCGGCCGGATCATGCTTTTTTATTTCCTCTACTTCCTGGCTCTGCTATCTTGAGCAAATCACTTCACCTCTTCCAACTTGTTTCCTCCCTGCCAAATAGCAAGGTGATTATAAGAATGAAAAAAGTAATACGTATTGAGTGCTTGGCACACACATGTGTTCCTTACATTATTGTCTCTGTTTAAGCAGAGCATAAATGCCCCTGATGTGCCTAGTCTAGCAATCTTAGGACAATCGCTGTCCCTGTCTGTTGTGTCCCTAGTAATGGCTGGCCCACAACTGCATGCAGTCCTGATTTTTTGATGTTTTTGCTTTTTTGAAACAAAAAAATCACTGTCACCCAGGCTGAGTGCAGTGGCTTAACATGGCTTGCTGCAGCCTTGACCTCCTGGGCTCAAGCAGTCCTGCCTCAGCCTCCTGAGTAGCTGGGACTACAGGCATGCCACCACTCCTGGCTAACTTTTGATTTTTTGTAGAGATGAGGTCTCATGATGTGGCTGGTCTCCAACTCCTGGCCTCAAGTGATCCTCCTGCCTCAGCCACCCAAAGTGTTGGGATTATAGGCCTGAGCTACCACATCTGGCTAAGGCTTATTTAAATTGATAATTTGCAGCACTAGTGGCCAATCATTTTTTTAAATGCTGGTACCTGGGCCCCACTAAGGTAGAGTTCCACCAGGTGATTTCACTGAGCAGCCAAGGGCTGAGGTGAAGCTGGTGAGGGTTCCTGGGATTTGCAGTGCTTCATTTTCTTCCCATTCCTGTTCTCAGATGGCGCTCCCCACGTTGCCATCCTACTGGTGCAGCCAGCAGCGCCTGAATCAGCAGCTAGCACGACAGCGAGAGCAGGAGGCCCGGCTTCGGCAGCAGTGGGAACAGAACAGCCGATACTTCAGGATGTCTGACATCTGCAGCTCCAAGCAGGCAGAGTGGAGCTCTAAAACCTCCTACCAGCGGAGGTAATTGTGCAGTGACTGACGATTGGATGGAGGTGGGGGCCGCTTGCTGCTGGTCAGGGGATGAGGCCTTAAGAATTCAGGGAGCAGGGCCGGGCGCGGTGGCTCACGCCTGTAATCCCAGCACTTTGGGAGGCCGAGGCGGGTGGATCACGAGGTCAAGAGATCGAGACCATCCTGGTCAACGTAGTGAAACCCCGTCTCTACTAAAAACACAAAAAATCAGCTGGGCATGGTGGGCGTGCCTGTAATCCCAGCTACTCAGGTGGCTGAGGCAGGAGAATTGCCTGAACCCAGGAGGCGGAGGTTGCGGTGAGCCGAGATGGCGCCATTGCACTCCAGCCTGGGCAACAAGAGCAAAACTCCGTCTAAAAAAAAAAAAAAAAAAAAAAAGAATTCAGGGAGCATAGGATTTGCCAGGCAGCATGAATTACCTGCACGATGATGTTTTTCCAGCTGGAAATGGAAAAAATAGATCATCAGTGCAGTATACATTGGCATTGAAAAAAAGAAAAGATGCAGAAGCATATGATAGAATTCATAAGCCTCCTTGTAACCCCACATCCCCAGAGAGAGCCACAGTTAAGTCTGGCACGTATCCTTCCATGCCTTTTCCCATTGGTATTTGTGCTTAAATATACACACACACAAACCTGCTTTTATAGAAATTCCTGTAAAAACATGGAGGCCAAAAGCATAGGCTTTGAAGTCAGATAGACCTAGATGGAAATCCTGACTATGTCTCTTGCTGAATGCATGAGGTTTGGTTTCCTCATCAGTCAAGTGGGGCTACAGCAGACCTACACCGTAGGATTTATGTGGTGGATAATATATATATTATTTATACGTTTTCTTTTTGCAAAAACAAGATTTTTCTTATACACACTATTCTGTTACCTGTTCACTTTGGCTTGGGACACATTCCTGTGTCACCGTGACATACCTACCTCAGCCTCTTACCCACATAGCAGAGCAGAGCATGCTCCTTGTGGCTGTGGCATGATTGATTCAGGCAGGCTCCCTCTCGCCCAGCATGCATGCCTATCAGCGTGAGAAGATGAAGGAGGAGAAGAGGAAGAGTCTGGAGGTCCGGCGGGAGAAGCTCAGGCAGCTCATGCAGGAGGAGCAGGACCTGCTGGCCAGAGAACTGGTGGAGCTGAGGCTCAGCATGAACTTGAGGGAAAGAAGAATCCGGGAACAGCACAGGAATCTGAAATCAGCTAGAGAAGAACAGAGGAAATTGGTAACTTCCCAGAGGCCTTCAGGAGGCTGTGGAACAGGAGCGCTCCCAGCCTGTGTGTGTCGCACATGTAGGGTCATTCCTGGGTGCTCAGGTCTGATGAGATGCCAGTTAACTCCAGAGCCAGCAGGAAAAGAGCTTAAGTCCTTGTGCAGGGACTGGGTTTTGGATGAGTCAGCTGTATTCCCTTTAGCCCCTTAAATCATTACATCTGGGACTTTTCCTTGTTTCCGGTTATGTGGGCCCACAAAGATCTGGGACTAGTCTATCTTACCTTCCGAAGTAGTTGTGTGAAACAGTGAGCCCCAGTCTGTGCTTTTCACCCTGCTGTGTTATTTTGAGACCCCCTAGATAGGACCTCTGTAGTAGATCAGATTTTGGCCTCCTTTTGTCACCATTGCAAGAGTCACTCGTTAGTGTCATGTGGTTCTCAGAGCTGTGCGTGTGAAGCACCAGGGTTTGAGCAGTGGGTGCAGTGACGGTGTGAATGGAGGCGCCTGTAGCTTGAGCTGACTTCTGTGTGTCACCCAAAATGTAGATGAATTTGAAAAATGACATCAGGCTTTCCATTGTGTTTTCTTGATAGATTGCTGAACAACTTTTGTATGAACACTGGAAGAAGAACAACCCGAGACTTCGAGAGGTGAAAGTCAGAGACCTCCATTGATTTGCCTAAGTAGATGGAATCATGTTTCCAGACATTTTTTTTACCACGTATCTTGTACTGGGTTGAAACAGGAGGGAACCTTGAGCTGCCTGAAAAGAGCAGCAGGCGGAAGATCTGGCTCAGGCTGCACTGAGCGGCTCATTCAGTTGTTGAACAAGTGTTGATTGAACCACGGCTGCCTAGTCTACCAGGTGGGGGGCATGGAGATTAGACGTGCTTTCTTCTCATAAGCTTGCGTCCAGCATGGGAGACAGTGGTAGCTCATTACAGGGCTAGATGCAGGGTGCTGGGCCAGCCTGAGAAGATGGGCATGGGCCAGTGCACTCAACTCTGGAGGGGTCGGGGAGGCTTCCCAGAGGAGTTCTGAGGTGGACGAGTTTGAAGGGGTGTGTGTAGGGGAGGAAAGGATGTTCTAGGTTCACATGACTGTGAGAACCGGCCTGAGACTTGAGAGCAGAGTGAGGCCTGGGAGCTGAAAGTGTGCCGGCGAGGCCAGGATGTCAGATAGGGAGAGCCCCAAGAGCTGATGCTGGTGAGGTGGGTGGTGCCAGCCGTCGGAAGAGCTTGTGTGACCTTCCTCTGAAGGAGCTGGGGGGTGGCACACAGGATCCTGGCTGCATTTCAAAGAGATCCCTCTGGCAATAATGTGCTGGCGGGCAGGGAGGAGTGCTGTGACAGCCCAGCCCAGTGAAGGCCTGAACTGGGCTGGCAGGGGAGAGGAGGACAAACTGCAGGAGAGGGGGTGACCTCTTGGCTTGGTGGCATTGTTCAGTGGAGATTTGGCTGGAGGGAGATCATTCATTTATTTTCAACTTACAGTTTCTATATACATTTGATGCCTTCACATTATTCATGGTTACATTTAGAAACCACCAGGTGCTAAATAATGGAAGATCTAGTGCTTTTGTGCAGTTCACACCAATCTGTGGGAGGGCTCCTTAGTCCTGTGGGCATCGGTGTGGTTGGCATCCAGAGCCGTTTACTCAGAAAAGTTTATTCAGAACATTCAAGTTAGTTGCATAGCATATGTTCCGTTGTAAGTTGGGAAAGATTTTATTTATTTATTTTTGAGATAGTCACTCTGTCACACAGGCTGGAGTGCAGTGTCGTGATCTTGCTTGGCTCACTGCAGCTTGAACCCACCTCCTGGGCTCAAGTGATTCTTCTGCTTCAGCCTCCCTAGTAGTTGGGACTACAGGCACATGCCACCATGCCCAGCTAATTTTTTTGTATTCTTAGTAGAGATGGAGTTTCACCATATTGGCCAGGCTGGTCTCAAACTCCTGACCTCATGATCTGCCCACCTTGGCCTCCCAAAGTGTTGGATTACAGGTGTGAGCCACCGCACCCAGCCAGGAAAGATTATTTTAAAACTTTTTTGTAGAGACGAGGTCTCACTATGTTGCTCAGGTTGATCTCAAACTCTTGGGCTCTACTGATCCTCCCACTCAGCCTCCTGAGTAGCCGAGACAGGTGGGCACCACCATATCTGGCTAATTTTATAAACAGTTTCTTAAAACAAAAGCTTTTGGATTGAATGTTGTGATCCATTTTCTAATCCAGGAGATTCTCTGCACCCAAATCTCTTACTAACAATTCCAAACTTATTGGACCTACTGGCACATCACTTGATACAGGGAGTACATACTCAACTGCTTTGCAGAGGAAGCTTTGGGGAGCCAGGCACAGGTTGAGTTGTCTCCTCACCCAGCTGTCTCCCAGGGCCTGGCATGTAGTAGACCAACCCGAGGTGGCCTTTGAAATTATATTTCCATTTCAGTGTCCAGCTCAACCCCAGGGCTAGTGGGAGGGAAGTCTCTGTTACTTTGTACCAGCTCAGGAGATTGGTGCAGGAGCTCCTAGTCCCTTGGTCTTCTGATTGACTTGCATTCACACTACACGTTGGAGTCAACTCACACTCTCTATTGGACGCCTGTGCCACTGAGTCCCCATGAAGGGAAGTCATGGCCACGTTCCAACATTCGGTACAGAGGGCAGCAGCACTCTGTCCCCATAGTGCCTGTCTGTCCCGTGAGGAAGCTCACATCCTCCCACTTCTGTCCTCAGATGGAGCTGGACCTTCACCAGAAGCATGTGGTAAACTCTTGGGAAATGCAGAAAGAAGAAAAAAAACAGGTGTGGTATGTGACTCTGGGAATAGCCCTGCATTCTGTGGTGGGAGGCCGTCCATGTCTTTGCATTTGTTTTCTGTTTTCAATGTCAGTGACTCCAGTTAAGGAGTACAGTAGACGCTTTCTCAGTTTACTTGACACATGTGAAAACTGAATGTTTGCTCTTATACATGCTAGAATCCTATGTGCTCATTCCTAGGGCAGAGTAAGGCCAGGTGACCAGGACTGGGAGGTGGCATGTAGAGCATGCGTCTTTTTTTTCTTTTGGAGACAGGGTCTTGCTCTGTCACCTACGCTGCAGTGATTCACAGCTCACTGCAGCCTCGACCACCTGGGTTCAAGCAGTCCTCCTACCTCAGCCTCCCGAGTAGCTGGGACCACAGGTATGCGCCACTGCGCCCAGCTAATTTTTTAATTCTTATAGAGATGGGGTCTTGCTCTGTTGCTCAGGCTGGTCTGGCCTCCTGGCCTGAAACGATTCTCCCACCTCAGCCTCCCAAAGTGTTGGGATTACAGGTGTGGGCCACAGGGTCCAGCTAGAACGTGTCCTTAAGGGCATTTTTGTCCTTCTGATGAAATTTGCATCATAAACTCACAGCCCTGGCTTACAGTAGCCCCTTTGGGGTTGAGCTTCCACACCTCCATGCACCGGTCGCTTTGCCTCCTGGTTCACTTCAGAAAGTGTTTTGTTGAGTGGGGTGGAAACCCAGCATTATCAAGGCCCTCCCTGACTTGGTCTCTGAAGGCGTTGTCGCTTGGGATTCAGGCAAGAACTGCCTGGGCCCTGTGGCCTGCAGAGTGGCGGCAGAAGCTGGGTTTTTGTTGGTGTATGGTACAGATACTGACCTCCTGTGTTCATTCGGCTCCTTGCAGCAAGAAGCCACGGCAGAGCAAGAGAACAAACGGTATGAAAACCAATACGAAAAGGCCCGAAGGGAGGCGCTGGAACGGATGAAAGCCGAAGAGGAGAGGAGGCAGCTGGAGGACAAGCTCCAGGCCGAGGCGCTGCTGCAGCAGATGGAGGAGCTGAAGCTGAAGGAGGTGGAGGTGGGCACGAGCCTCTCTCGGCCGTGACCACCTCCATAGCTGCTCGTTAGCATGAGATGGGCACTTGAGAGGCCGCCCTAAGGAGGGGCCATAGCAGGGCTGAGATCCTATGAAGGGCAGCAGGAGCCAGGTTCTCCCTCTCACATGCATCCCCTTTCGCCTGGAGCTTTGCCGTTCTCCTCGTCTGTGTGCCTGGATTCCAGAACATTAAGGACACAGAGCTGGGAGCTGTCCTCTTAGAGGTGCTCAGCAACCTGTTGCTGGAGAATATTCTTAGAACGTGGATTTTCCAGTGTGCTAAGTAGACACGATTTAATCGGGTGATCTAGCACCCAGCTCGCTGTGGGGAGCAGGTTTCAGGTCTCGAGGCCTAACTGTGAGGGTTTTTGGTCCAGAGGCTGTTTTTAGAGAACACGGCACAGTTCCCTTGAAAGAATTAGATTTTCCTATTTAGATGAGGGAGTCCCATGCTCCTGTGGCCCCACTTCCCCTTACCCAGGCCCAGTGATTCAGCAACTACGTTCTTAGTGCCCACTACTTATTCTAGGTGCTGAGCACTGGGTTGGAGCTAGAAATAGAGCCTGAGCAAGGACCACAGGCCTGGCCTCCTAGTGGAGGCTGTGTCAGGCAGAGGTTAAGTTATAGTAAGTGTGGACCAGTACAGGGTCCTGTGGGAGTTTGGGACGCAGAAAGGCCCTTTGGGGAAATGGCTTAGATCAGATGGGATGAGTAAGTGAGAGGTGGGAGGGGATCGTGACCACCTGGTGGCCGGGCCACCGTCGCATAGTGTCAGAAAAATGGAGATGGAGCGTGAAGGAAGATCTGATTCCCACCATCTCAGATCTCAGTCGGGCTTACTCACCACCACAGGCCACCAAACTAAAGAAGGAGCAGGAGAATCTGCTGAAGCAGCAGTGGGAGCTGGACAGGCTGGAGGAAGAGCGGAAGCAGATGGAAGCCTTCCGGGAGAAGGCGGAGCTGGGGTGCGTGTCAGAAGGGCCTCCCACTCTTCCATGCGGGTGGGCCTCTTGCCTTTTCAGACTTGCGGTTGCGTTGCTGAAACCATAAAGGAGACGCCCTGTGGTCAGCAGTTTTCTAACTTGCGTTTGATTCTTTCTGAGATACTGAAGGTAGCACACATTTGATTCTCCTTCAGGCGCTTCTTGAGACATCAGTATAACGCTCAACTCAACAGACGCACACAGCAGATTCAAGAGGAGCTGGTAAGTCTGAAGAGACAGCCTGACATCTTTCTCATCCTCTTTTTGAAAAAAAAAAAGTCGGCCGGGCGCGGTGGCTCACGCCTGTAATCCCAGCACTTTAGGAGGCCGAGGCAGGTGGATCACGAGGTCAAGAGATCGAGACCATCCTGGTCAACATGGTGAAACCCCGTCTCTACTAAAAATACAAAAAATCAGCTGGGCATGGTGGCGCGTGCCTGTAATCCCAGCTACTCAGGAGGCTGAGGCAGGAGAATTGCCTGAACCCAGGAAGCGGAGGTTGCGGTGAGCCGAGATGGCGCCATTGCACTCCAGCCTGGGTAACAAGAGCGAAACTCCATCTCAAAAAAAAATAAATAAATAAATAAATAAAAAAAGTCTTCCATTTCTTAGTATATGAGTGCATTCTCGTGAGAATGAAAAGAGAGAAGGGTCATGGGAGAGGGGAGATGTTGGTCAGAGGGTATATCCATCCCTCTGGAGATGCGGGAGTTCTGGGAACTAGTGTCCAGCGTGTTGACCACAGCTGATGACACCGTGTTGTATTCTTGAAATTTGCTACGAGAGTCAATCTTAAGTGTTGTCACCACAAAAAGCAACTGTGAGGATGTGGTAATTAGCTTGACCGTAAGGATCCTTTTCCAGTGTGTGTGTGTTACACAGAGAGATATAGATATCAGAACGTCAAATTCTTTTTCTTTTTATTTATTTATTTATTTATTTATTTTTATTTATTTTTTTTTTTTGAGACGGAGTTTCACTCTTGTTACCCAGGCTGGAGTGCAATGGCGCGATCTCGGCTCACCGCAACCTCCGCCTCCCGGGTTTAGGCAATTCTCCTGCCCCAGCCTCCTGAGTCGCTGGGATTACAGGCACGCGCCACCATGCCCAGCTAATTTTTTGTATTTTTAGTAGAGACGGGGTTTCACCATGTTGACCAGGATGGTCTCGATCTCTTGACCTCGTGATCCACCCGCCTCGGCCTCCCACAGTGCTGGGATTACAGGCTTGAGCCACCGTGCCCGGCTGTCAAATTATTTTTCAATAAACCTGTTATTTAAAAAACAGCACAACACAAAGTGAGATCACCCCCTTGACCAGCACCTGTAATCTCTGTCTGTCCCCAGAGGTGTCTGTCTGGTGCACATCTTTCTAGATATGTTTACATTCAGAGAGGTAGAGGTTTGTTTTTGGTTTTGTTTTTAAATGTAATTGAGGTTGTATTCCTCAGCATCTTCAGTTTACACTAAATCTCTATAATTTTTAAAAAGCTCTGCTGGGCACGGTGGCTCATTGCCTGTAATCCCAGCAGTTTGGGAGACCGAGGTGGGTAGACTGCCTGAGGTCAGGAGTTTGAGGCTCCATTTTTAGTAGAGATGGTGTTAGTAGAGAAACCCCATCTCTACTAAAAAAAAAATACAAAAACTATAGTCGGGTGTGGTGGCACACGCCTGTAATCCCAGCTTCACGTGGGGCTGAGGTAGGAAAATTGCTTGAACCAGGGAGGCAGAGGTTGCAGTGAGCCGAGATCGTGCCACTGCACTCCAGCCTGAACAACAAGAGTGAAACTCCATCTCAAAAACAAAACAAAACAAAAGCGAAAACTAGCCAGGCATAGTAGTGCACACCTGTAGTCCTAGCTACTTGGGAGGCTGAGGCTGGACAATTGCTTGAACCCAGGAGACAGAGGTTGCAGTGAGCCGAGATCGCACCACTGCACTCAAGCCTGGGCAACAGAGCGAGACTGTCTCAAAAAAAAAACCCCAAAAACACAAACAAAAGATCATTATGCTCAGATTGAACCTGTTCTTTTCAAATAGCTGCTTTGGATTCCTAAGTACTTTGATGAGCTCCCATGCTGTGAAGAGGACAGACCCAAGCTGCCCTTCCCATCCCTGCCCACTGCGGTCAGGGCAGGACATGGGGTGCAGCAGCATGGTTGGTCCTGGTGTGCAGCCTTTTGTATGGGGTCTTGCTCTGTTGTCCAGGCTGGAGTGCAGTGGCACAATCAGGACCTCCCAGGCTCAAGCCATTCTCTCACCTCAGGCTCTTGAGTAGCTAGGACTGTAGGTGTGTATCACCATGCCTGGCTGGTTTTTTTTTTTTTTTTTTTTTGGTAGAGATGGGGGTCTTGCTACGTTGCCCAGGTGGGTCTTGAACTCCTCCTCAAGTGATCCTCCCAGCTCAGCCTCCCAAAGTGCTGGGATTGCAGGCATGAGCCTTGGTGCCCATCCTCCTGCATTCTTTTAATGCTTCCATTATGTCAATGTACATAGTAGCTAATTCCCCACCAATGAGCATTTTGGTTGTTTCTGGTTTTTCCCTCTTACATAAAAGCTGCAGTGAGTGTTTTGCACCTTTGTGTCACTGTGGTATTCGTTCTTACAAGTGGGATTTTTGCCAAGTTGTATTCTAAAAGGTGCAACGAGATGTTTCCGAGGGCATGTGGTGGTTGTGGGGTCTCCCTTTAGCCAGAGAGAAGGTCCTAGGCCTGTGCAGTGTCTGAACCACCCCTCATGCATATCCCCAGTCTGTTTAGAAATAATCCAGCATCTTCCCATCTCTATCTTGAGAACACTGTGTAGGATCACGAATGTCCGTGATAGGCTCTGTATAGGCTCTCGCTGCAGAAGGGCTCTGTCCAGCCAAGTCACGTGCTGCCCTCTGCTTCTTCTAGGAGGCAGACAGGCGGATCCTGCAGGCCCTCCTCGAGAAGGAGGATGAGAGCCAGCACCTCGACCTGGCCAAGCGGGAGCAGGCCGTGGCTGATGCGGCCTGGATGAAGCAGGCCATTGAGGAGCAGCTGCAGTTGGAGCGGGCACGAGAGGCAGAGTTGCAGATGCTGCTGAGGTGAGTGGCGGCCACTGACTGTGCCGGAAGCTCCTGGCCTTGACTCTGGTTTCTTGAAATGCCCCATGGGTCACCCGTTACTGAAATATCTGTTGACTTGTCTTGGCGGCTCACACCTGTAATCCAGTGCTTTGAGAGGCCAAGGCAGGTGGATTGCTTGAGCCTAGGAGTTCGAGACCAACCTGGGCAACATGGCCAAACCCCAGTCTCTACCAAAAATATACAAATTGGCCAGGCATGGTTGTTCACGCCTGTAGTCCCAACTACTCGGGAGGCTAAGTGGAAGGATCGCTTGAGCCCAGGAGGTTGAGGCTCTGATTAGCTATGATTGCACTACTGCACTTCAGCCTGGGTGACAGAGCGAGACTCTGTCTCAGAAAGAAAAGAAGGAAGAAGAAATACCTGTTACGTTGTCCATCGTCCCAAGGAGCACATCTTCATAATGGACCTGGCCATGGTGTAAGTCATCACAGTTGCTTTTTTTCCCCTTGTATTATCTGAGGTAGAAATCAATAAGGTTTAGAGTAACGATGTGTTCATCTGAAATCTTAGAGGTTTGGAATGAAATTCTTTTTATTTGAGTCTCATTCTGTCACCCAGGATGGAGTGCAGTGGTATGATCTCGGCTCACTGCAGCCTCTGCCTCCTGGGTTCAGGCAATTCACTGCCTCATCCTCCTGAGTAGCTCTGATTACAGGCATCTGCCACCACGCCTGGTTAATTTTTGTATTTTTAGTAGAGATGGGGCTTTACCATGTTGGCCAGACTGGTCTCAAACTCTTAACCTCAGGTGATCCACCCCCCTCAGCCTCCCAAAGTGCTGGAATTACAGGCGTGAGCCACCGCGCCCTGCCGGAAGGAAATTCTTACAGAGATGTTGAATGCTGCTTATGTGTATAAAACTGAGTTTGGGTCCTAAAGATTACACTAGTAGATCAAAATCATTGAATAATAAATAGAATACATTGAGCGCTTACTGCATGCTGGACACTGCTAAATGCTTTATAGGCCTTATCTTACTGAGTGCTGACATCCAGCCAAGTGGTGGCCTGTGAGACACGGAGACTCGAGGAGGTTACTTGGTCCATGGTGAGCTGGCAGTGACACAGGCGCTTGGTGGCAGGGCTCAGGCATAGGCCATGCCCTCCTCCTCTCCAGGTCCTGATGGTTTCATTTGTGTCTGTGTTAAACGGTCATGGTGTAAGTCATCACAATTGCTTTTTTTTTGAGATGGAGTCTTGGTCAGTTGCCCAGGCTGGAGTGTAGTGGCACGATCTTGGCTCACTGCAGCCTCTGCCTCTTGGATTCAAGCAATTCTCCTGCCTCAGCCTCCTGAGTAGCTGGAACTACAGGCACATGCCTCCATACCCGGCTAATGGTTTTTTTTTTTTTAGTAGAGACAGGGTTTCACCATGTTAGCCAGGATGGTCTCGATCTCTTGACCTTGTGATCTACCTGCCTCGGCCTCCCAAAGTGCTGGTATTACAGGTGTGAGCCACCGTACCCAGCCCACAATTGCTTTTTATAAGGAGATGGGTATTAAAAGGGTGACTTAAAATACTTCCAACAGGGCTGGGTGTGGTGGTTCACGCTTGTAATCCCAGCACTTTGGAAGGCCAAGATGGGCAGATCACTTGAGGTCAGGAGTTCAAGCCCAGCCTGTCCAATGTGGTGAAACCCCATTTCTACTAAAAATACAAAAATTATCCGGGCATGGTGGCGCTACTCAAGAGGCTGAGGCACGAGAATCACTTGAACCTGGGAGGTGGAGGTTGAAGTGAGCTGAGACCACACCATTGCACTCTATCCTGGGTGACAGAGCAAGACTCCATCTAAAACAACAACAACAAGCTTCCAACAGTACTGTCTGTGGATGCTGTCCTTAATGTAATCTTTTCAATGTGCATGTTTATCTGTAGCGTGGCCCTGCAGAAGCCATGTGCCCTGCAGCCCTGTCTGTTCCATAGTTCGCTTCCTGCCATGGTGGGGAGGAGCCTGCTATCATCCCTTTTGTGTTTGCCCAGGGAGGAGGCCAAGGAGATGTGGGAAAAGAGAGAGGCAGAGTGGGCCCGAGAGCGCAGCGCACGGGACAGACTGATGAGCGAGGTAATCCCAGCTGCGGTGATGTGGACCACAGCTGTTGGGTCCCGGGCAGGTGTCTGGAAGTCTGTGGTCAGTCACCCTGCCGGATGCTCTGGGAACAGAGTCTTCCCTGGTCATTTTAAGTGGGCCTTAAAAATCATTGGAAAATTAATATGAACTTACTAGAAAAAAATTCAGAAGTACAGAAAGTAGAAATGAAAAAAGTCCCCCCGAGTGCCGTCCTATATACAGCTACAGCTGCTGCTTCCTTCTGCTCCTCTGTTTCCATGACCGACATTTTTTCCACATGTATTTTTAATTGTCTTGTGCTGTTTTACTTTAGGCATTGTAACATGCCGTTACATCTTTATAAAAGCCACATCAAGGGCTGTATCGCAGACTGTCCTCTGTCTCCCGCTGCCTTTTCATTCCCTCTTGTGGATGTGTTTTTCTTTGTTTCTTTTTTTTTCTTTTTCTTTTTTTTTTTTTTTTTTAGATGGAGTCTCGCAGTCACCCAGGCTGGAGTGCGATGGCACAATGTCGGCTCGCGGCAAGGTCCGCCTCCTGGGTTCAAGCGACTCTTCTGCCTCAGCCTCTCAAGTGGCTGGGATTACAGGCATCTGCCATCATGCCCAGCTAGTTTTTATATTTTTAGTACAGACAGGGTTTCACCATGTTGGCCAGGCTGGTCTCAAATTCCTGACCTCACGTGATTCACCGGCCTCGGCCTCCCAAAGTGCTGGGATTACAGGCGTGAGCCACTGCACCCGGCTGGATGTGCTGTTTTTCTAATTCGGAGCCATTCTGAGAAACACAGCAGGGAGCATCTTGGTACATGAAGCTCTTCCCATGCGTTTTCCCCCTTGGGATAGAAGACAGATATGAACTGGAGAATGTAACTGTTTTCCTGGTCAGTGTGTACGCCATGCGTGGAAGACACACACCAACCACAGGGAAATCTGGAAGGAGAGGAGAGTTAGTTATCCATGAGCTGAAAGTTGTTTTAAAGTGGCTTAGAATGAGAAACTCTGTGTTGTGTCTGGTAGTACGCAGTGCTTTGGAATCCACAGGAAATCGGGTCCCAATTGATGTTTTGCTCTTGTAAATACCAAGAATTCTCCAGTGGCTTTTGATTTTCCTCATTTAAATTTCCCTCCTGATGGCGGCCACTCTTCTGTTTCCCCCAGCCCTGCAGCATAACTGTTGACAGTGTCAGGTGGCTTCCCGCTCCTGACTGTGGGCTGGGCTGGAGTTTGGGTATCACACGGCTCTGGGGACAGGTTTCAAACACAGCAGGTTCAAAAGATTAGGGGATAACCCCAGCTCCACCTCTGGTCATCTGTCTGTGTGCTTGTGGTTTTCCTGTTTTTTAGAACTCACTGATAGGAGGTAAGACTCACCTTGTTGCTGCAAGGTTTCTGTGCCCCTGGGGAGAGGGTTCCATCCCAGTCTCCTTTGATCTCTTTGGCATTCAGCTGTCTCTTCATAATACACAGTCTGGATACATTTTGTGTATGTTGGGGTGTGAGGGAATGTTTCTGGTATACTGGCAAGCGTGGCTGACATCATGAGAGCACATCCTGTAGTGTGGCTCTGCCTCTGTCTGTGTATTTGAGCCTGAGGCCCAAGGATGAGGCTGGGCCTTGCTGTGGCTTGCTGCAGCCTGTGCGAGGCTTGTAGAACCAGGATCTGTTAGGGTCAACCTCAAAGCTGCCCTTTCTTTCTGCCGAGGGTAGGTTCTGACAGGGAGACAACAGCAGATACAAGAGAAGATTGAACAGAACCGACGGGCACAAGAGGAATCCCTGAAACACAGGGAGCAACTTATTCGAAATCTCGAGGAGGCAAGAGAATCTGCTCGTCGCGAGAAAGAGGAGAGTGAAGAACTGAAATCCGCCAGGAAGCGGGATCTGGAAGCCCAGGTGGGGCTGAGCCCAAGGGCGGGAGGCTGTGGGCCTGCTGTGGTTCTCACATCATCATGGGACAGGGTTCAGAGGCCCTGGACTGCCTGGCAGGGTTCGCGTGCACTTGCGAGCACAATGCCCAGTTTTAATCCCGGCTGCAGTCCTCACCCTCTTTCTTTTTTTTTTTTTTTTAAATGTCTCACACTGTCACCCAGGCTGGAGTGCAGTGGCATGATCTCGGCCCCCTGCAACCTCTGCCTCCCAGGTTCAAGTGATTCTTCCACCTCAGCCTACCAAATAGCTAGGCTTACATTACAGGCATCTACCACCATGCCCGGCTAATTTTTTGGTATTTTTAGTAGAGACGGGGTTTCGCTATATTGATCAGGCTGGTCTTGAACTCCTGACCTTATGATCCTGCTGCCTTGGCCTCCCAAGGTGTTGGGATTACAGGCGTGAGCCACTGCATCTGGCAGTCCTCATCTTCTTGACTGTGGCTTCGTTCCCCTCCACATCCTCCATCACGTGTGGGCATGAGACCGACACTGCTGTCTGTTCTCTTTGTCCTGTCTGCTTCTGGAAGCCATTGGCTTACCAGGGGCCACATTACTCTCTTCGGTTCAGTCCCTAGACATAGGACAAAACAGCCCTCCAAACACCCAGCCACATCCTGGGCTTTTCACAAGGTACATGCTATACACAGACCCTTTCCAGTTCCATTGGAACATGGAAAGGAACACCCTTTCCATGGCGTGTTCCCGTCCATTCCTTGGCACTTGCATTGCTGTTGCTCAGCTGGATTCTCCAGCACAGGTAGGACTGCAGTCTTACCCTCCTCATCAGAGGCAGGGCTCTGCCCCATAGGCCTTGTCTTGGGGTGACTTTGCTCTTGGCACCCAGGTTGCAGAGCGCCGGCTGCAGGCATGGGAAGCAGACCAGCAGGAAGAGGAGGAAGAGGAGGAGGCCCGCCAGGCTGAGCAGCTCTCGGATGCCTTGCTGCAGCAGGAGGCCAAGACCATGGCTGAGCAGGGCTACCGGCCCAAGGTAGGGAGCCTGCCAGGCGACGGGCCACCGATGGTGACACAGACTCCTCCCAGCCCCTGCTCCCTTGGGCCTGTTCATCACCCTGCACTGGGCTCTGCTCTCCAGCCATCTGGGTTATTCCTGTTCCTCTTCTGTATTCCTCTCTCCCCTGACCAACAGGGAGCCCCCATGCAGGGGCTGTTCCAGTCCTTGGTTGGGCCTCAGACAGCCCTTGAGTTGATTTTGCCCTGGCCTCTGCCTACTAAGCTGCATGCCTGTCCACCCTCTTTGGGCAATCTAAGAAGAGCTGTGGCCACAGCTGCTGAGGGGACACAGCAGTAGGCCCAACTGTTGAGACAGCAAAGCCCAGTGATCATGAGACCGGTCCTCCTCCCCTCTTCTCCCCCCGGTGTGTGTATCTTTGTTTCTCTGCCTCCCAGTGTCTTGTTTCCCGGACCTCTCTGCATGGCACCGTGAGGAGCACAGAGAAGCAAAGGCTGCCTCCCCTACCCCGAGGAAGCTGATGACTAAAGCACCCCTGGTGCTGGCTTGTCCCCTCTGCCTCCTTTACCCAGGGCCACCCTGGCCACCTGGTGCCTAGATTGCACTCCCCAGGACACGTGCTACAGAATAAGAACTGGTTCCTCATGGTCAGATGACGCTGGAAACTGAAACAAAATTAGAGCAGGTGCTGCAATTTTCCATAGGCCACTCATGTTGTCACACACTGACTCTCAGAGCTGCAGGGAACAGCATTTTGCCAAACCCCCTTGACCATGGATCAGCGAGTGTCTTGGGATCAGGGTTTCACAGACCATATGCGAAAATGTTTCTTAGGGCTAGTACTTAAAAATAAAAAGTTATAAAGTGCCTCATTTATGATTTAGGGTCAGACTTTTTCAGCTATAAATGAAACAGCCATTTATATTGTTATTTTACTTTGTAGTTAAAAGAGGCTAATTCCCCATGCTCCTGATACTGCTGATCTGATCAGTCTTGTGTTTTCTTTCTTTTTTCAGCCTTATGGACATCCGAAAATTGCTTGGAACTGACTTCATGGGTACCATAAGCACAGAGAACAAGGGATGCTGAGGCTTCTGATCCCAGCCTCCAGGCAGTTTGACGGGACTCTGGTATAGTCAGTGCCCGGGGCACTGTCATATGGCTCAGCAGTGCCTGCTCAGGTTCATCATTAAAAGCATCCAGGGTTTGGCCAGACATTAAGATGTTGTGAGTCTGCAGCACTTGGTGAGAGGCCCTTTGATGCCTTTCTTACCCAAGGAAGGGTCTTTGGTAGGCACATGTTTACAGCACTGTCACATAGTCTTGTAATATATTATCAATAACATCAACTCAAGGTCAATACTAAGGAGTCACAGGTGGTGCCTGTGATGGTTCATGTGGTTTCCTGTTGTCTCACCTTTGTCAACCTCCAGTGTTGACTCTGGAAATATGAGGAAAACTTTTCAGTTTTTAAAATTGCCATTTAAATTTAGTCTATTGAAAACAAACCTAGAGGTGTTGGTGGAATTTATTTCAGAGTTTGTTAATTTAATGGTCCTAAAAGGATTACATCTTTTGTATTCTGGAAGAAAAGAACTGCGAAGCCGGGCACAGTGGCTCACGCCTGTAGTCCCAGCACTTTGGGAGGCTGAGGCGGGTGGATCACCTAAGGTCAGGAGTTCAAGACCAGCCTGGCCAATGTGGTGAAACCCCATCTCTACTAAAAATTAAAAAATTAGCCAGATGTGGTGGCAGGCACCTGTAACCCCAGCTACTTGAGAGGCTGAGGCAGGAGAATTGCTTGAACCCAGGAGGCAGAGGTTGCAGTAAGCCGAGATCACCCCATTGCACTCCATCCTGGGCAACAAGAGTGAAACTCCATCTCAAAAAAAAGAAAAGAACTGAACAAATTAAAACCCTGGAACAGTCTGACGTCCACAGACACATTCCAGAAAAGTGGCAAGAGATGAGTCTTTCCTCCTTCAGGAAGCATTTTGGTAGAATTTCCATAGACCATTGTCTGTGAGTGAGTGATCCCAACATGTATGTTACCAAGCCCCAAAAGGGACCTCAAACTGGATGCAGTGGCATGTGCCTGTAGTCCCAGCTACTCGGGAGGCTGCAGCAAGAGCATTGCTTGAGACCAGGAGTTCGAGTCCAGCCTGGGCAAAAGAATGAGACCCTGTCTCTAAAACAAAAAAGGTACCTTAGAAGGTCACCTGACTGGCTAATCCTTTAAAGGCAGGGGTGTGACATGTGGGACTTCTAGTGTCTTGGGAATGTCTTGGCTACATGTAGCCTTCTGGGATTTATGTGCCCAGAGGAAGAAGCACTGAGCCTCAGGAAACTAGATCAGACTCAGAACCACAGACCAACCAGAAATTTCTCTCCCACCACTATATCAGGGTGATAACAGGTCTACATTCATTTCTACAAATAGGAACAAGTTCCTTGCAGTAATAATCTTATTTTATGATTTGTATTTTTCCTGTATTCTTCCTTGGAGGTTTCAGTTTTCATTACATTGTGTTCAAGATTCCATATCTCCGTAAATTACAGCTAATTACAGGGCATTGTTCCATGGTTATTAAAAACCAGAGTTTATTAAAATTCCTGAGTCTGAGGGCCACCTTACCTTTCACTTCCATTATTCTGTAAAAACAGACTGAGCTGCAAACCACGTCCTTCATCTGTTGTTCATTTTCTTGCAACTCTTTGGCTACGATTCCCTGAGCATCGCGTTCATCACACATGTTCACAGTTATGTCCCCTGTTTCAGATGTCCATTAATTACGAAATAAAATCCTGCTTCAACAGCACAGCTTCCCGGCTTTGTTACGGATTCTTCGACTGCTGTAAAGTGCATTGCGGGTGATAACAGGCTTTTTACTGATTTAATCCACATCTCCCACATACAGGCCTGGCTGTTTTCGATGACTGAACACATTTTATAGGTTATGTTCATTTTTCATAGGAAAGTGGTCTCTTCTTTCAATTGCAACCACAGTGAACTGTGGGTTTTAGATTTTTTTTTGGAAACAGGGCTTTGCTCTGTCACCCAGGCTGGAGTGTAATAGCGTAATCTCAGCTAACTGCAACCTCCGCCTCCCAGGTTCAAGTGATCCTCCCATCTCAGCCTCCCCAGTAGCTGGGACTACAGGTGTGTACCACCAGGCCTGGCTAATTTAGTAGAGATTGGGGGTCTTGCCATGTTGCCCAAGCTGGTCTTGAACTCCTGGGCTCATGCGATCCTCCTATCTCGGCCTCTCAAAGCACTAGGATTACAGGTGTGAGCCACTGTGCCTGGCCTGAATTGTTTTTTTAATTTATTTATTTTTTTTTTTGAGACAGAGTCTCACTCTTGTTGCCCAAGCTGGAATGCAGCGGTGTAATTTCAGCTCACTGCAACCTCAGCCTCCTGGGTTCAAGTGATTTCCTGCCTCAGCCTCTCAAGTAGCTGGGATTACAGGCATGTGCCACCACACCTGACTAATTTTTTTTTTTTTTTTTTTTGAGACGGAGTTTCGCTCTTGTTACCCAGGCTGGAGTGCAATGGCGCGATCTCGGCTCACCGCAACCTCCGCCTCCTGGGTTCAGGCAATTCTCCTGCATCAGCCTCCTGAGAAGCTGGGACTACAGGCACGCGCCACCATGCCCAGCTAATTTTTTGTAGTTTTAGTAGAGGCGGAGTTTCACCATGTTGACCAGGATGGTCTCGATCTCTTGACCTCGTGATCCACCCGCCTCGGCCTCCCAAAGTGCTGGGATTACAGGCTTGAGCCACCGCGCCTGGCCTTTTTTTTTTTTTTTTTTTAAGACAGGGTTTCACCATGTTGGTCAGGCTGGTCTTGAACTCCCGACCTCAGGTGATCCACCCGCCTTGGCCTCCAAAGTGCTGGGATTACAGGCGTGAGCCACCACACCCGGCCTAATTTTTGTATTTTTAGTAGAGATAGGGTTTCCCCACATTGGTCAGGCTCCAACTCCTGATCTCAAGTGATCCACCCTCCTCTGTCTCCCAAAGTGCTGGCATTACAGGTGTGAGCCACCATGCCTGGCCTAATTTTTTGTTTTTGAAGCCTAGTGGTAATCATTAGCAATGAAATTATGTTATACTAGTTCACTGCCCTAATTAAATGTTTCTGCTCTAAACTGGTCCAATATAATTTGTTTTAGAAACTTAGAGTTTCTACTGTCTTATTATTTCTGCTATGGCCCATACACCTATGGGCCCAGGGTATTTGCATTTTGTATTTTGATTGTGTCGTAGTTACAGATACATATGAGTTCTATTGTTGCTAAGCACCTTTTCCTACTGACTCGAAATGAGTGGTTTCTAGATTATTCTTTGGCAGATTTTTCTACAAAGGTCTATTTCTTTAGTACAGATGGTACTGAAGCCACTGCTAGGAAATGCTTCTTGTGCTGATAAAGAAGTGATGACTTCACATCACTTTCTGCTCCTCATTCAGGACACATTCTCTTGAGGGAAGGTACTAGGCCTGGGAAGTCACACATGACCATGAACAGTGACACAAGTCAGACGCTGGAATCGGACACAGACGAGCAGATGTCACTGGCAGACACATAGCCAGTTGTCACTCATGAGGCTGAAGAGATGTCTGTGCAATACGTACAGTCTATAAATCCATATTTATGGATATGATTTTTCCATTTGGGTTTTTAGGTAGTTTTTGGTGTTCATATAATATAGAGCAATCATTTAAAAGATAGTGTAAAGCCTTTAAAAACACTGGCCTTATGCCAGGGGCAGTGGCTCACGCCTGTAATCCCAGCACTTTGGGAGGCTGAGGTGGGCGGATCAACCTGAGGTCGGGAGTTCGAGACCAGCCTGACCAACATGGAAAAACCCCATCTCTACTAAAATTACAAAATTAGCCGGGCATGGTGGCAGATGCCTGTAATCCCAGCTGCTTGGGAGGCTGAGACAGGAGAATCGCTTAAACCTGGGAGGCAGAGGTTGTGGTGGACTGAGATTGCCCATTCCACTCTAGCCTGGGCAACAAGAGTGAAACTCTGTGGGAAAAAAAAAAAAATTGGCCTTAGCAGTTCTTGATGACCTCGACTAAATTCAATTATGAAGCTATATGGAGTTCGATTTTAGGGAACTGATTTTGCATTGTAATGTCTGCTTTTAGAGGGACGTTTATGCCTTAATATCACTCAAAACACAGTGTCAACCTCAACAGATACATATGTGGTTTTTTCCAACATGTAGCTGTGGTTTATTTTCACTGCTCTACATAGCTGATTGTGTAAATTCACTATCATTTGTTCACTGCTACTTGTTTGGTTTCCAGTTTTTTCTATTAAAATGGAGTTTCTGGAATCCTCTGTGCACATCACTTCTGGTGCAGGCATTGCAGGTGATCTCCAGCAAAATGGCTGGAAATGGGCCTCTTGCCACATAGCCATCAGGATCACAATGGAAACGCCTGGATTGATGTCAGGGTACTGCTTTGATGCCACCTTAGCGCTTTTTTTTCTCATTTTCTCCCAATTAACTCATCTGAACACTGCAGCTCCCTTTTCTTCATTTCCCCTAAACACCCCCTCCTCCATTTCCATATAGAAACGCTTACCGTAGGAGGCTGGCGGGCCGTGATCCCCCGTGTGAGCGTGCTCAAGCTGTGTGGCCCTACAGTTCGTGCTGCTGACTCCTGGCTCCTAAGACAAAGCCTCTGGGCTAAGTAGCTGGGCCACTGACGCTGGCTTCTAGTTCACATGTACAGCTCTTGATCCATCAGGGTTGCTGATACACATGGGGTTCTGTGGATACTCTGTAGTTAACCGTGGCCTTTGCCAGTCATAACCTAGCAGTGCTAGTTTTCTGGGCCCAGGCCTCACCACACAGGCTCTCCCAGGTGATGTGAGGCAGGCCTCTGCCTTCTGCTGCCATCCCCACATCAGTAACTCCTGGCTCTGCAGCTGTAGTCCAGACTGTAATGTCCCTACAACTTTGACATCTCCACGGTGTCTCAGCATAGCCAAAATGAATGAATGATCTCCCCCAAACCTCCACCACTAGAAAAAAAAACCCAAACCCATCTGGCCCTTCTCCAGTGTTCTCAGATAAGTACCTGGCGATAGCATCTATCCTGCCAGTTGATTATGCCTTAGACCTAGGGCACTGAGTCCTGCTGGCCTCTGGAGTGGCTATCCACTTTGCTCCCTCATGTCCACCCTTCATGTCACAGAGCCAGCCCATAATTTTTTTCTTCATCCTACAGTCAGAGGTCTTTCACAAACACACACCTGAAATGAGAATCATCCACTTTCTTCAGTGGCCTCTCAGGACGCTTAGTACCAAGAGCCAGCACTTCCTTGGCCTGCAAGGCCCTGTCCTAACCGGCCCTGCAGAGCTTTCCCAAAATGTACCACTCTGCCTCCTGGCCCAGGAGATAGAAATACCATATTGGTACAAAGATGTTGCTCACAGCATTAGTATGATAACAGAAACAGACAATCTACATGTCTATCACCAGGAGGCTGTTAG